TACGAAAGTATCGTCAGCTCCTCGCCGTCTCGACCGCCAAGAACCCAGCGGCGGGACGTAGTGATGCAGTCAAGGCGCGCGTGCTACTCAGCTCGCTCATCGTCTGCAATGCCGCCGAACTCAAAGCTACCGCAGTCGTACTCGTCATCACCACCTTTTCGTTCTACTTCCCCAAGCTCGGCATGAGCATCTTGCTCAACGGCATCGAACAATACGATCAAACTCTCAAGGGCCCCAATGCGATCAAGGATACCGTGCCCAACAGGGCCCGTGCAACGCTCATCTACTCGGCAGTCTTTTACCTCACCCTGCTGTGGGAGGGATTCATCGTGTACTACTACTTCCGTCCGCTCGGCACCTATCTCAAGACCAAGGTGCAGACCCAGCTCACAACGCTCCTCGCCTGGAAGCGGCTGCGCCAGAAAGAGGCCTCGGCTCCGTCTGGTGCTGACGACGCAGAGGATGCAAAGGAGGGTGAAAAGGAAGAGGGCGAGGCGTCGGCAAGTTCGTCGTCGCAAGTGATCAATCTGGTCACCACGGATGCCAACCGTATCTTTTCGCACATCGACATGTTCAGCTTTGGCATCATGGGTCCGCTCGAGGTGTTTGTGGGTGGATGGTCGGCGTACTACCTGCTGGGCAATGGTGCGCTCATGGGTCTGCTGGTTGCAGCACTTATGCAGCCCATCGCGATTCTCATCGGACGCATCACGGAGCGCATCGACGACAAGCTGCAAAAGTCGCGCGACAAGCGCGTCATGCTGCTCTCCGAAGCCATCCGTGCCATCCGCATGATCAAGTACGAGGCATGGGAGGACGATATGGCCGCACGCATCATGCACACCCGCCGCGCAGAGCTCAAGTGCCAGGCACAGAGCTGGATCGTCTTTACCTTCTTTGGCGGCTTCTTTGCCTTTGTGCCCATGCTCACCATCGTCGTCGCCTTTGCTTGGTACACGGTCGTCGAGGGCCAGCAGCTCACTGCGTCAGTAGCCTTCCCCGCCGTGGCTGTGCTCATGGAGCTTAGGTTTGCTGTCAGCTATCTGCCCAGCAACTTCCTCATGATCATCCAGGGTTGGGTCTCGCTCAAGCGCATTGCTGCCTATCTCGAAACTGGCGAAGTCGAGCTCAAGACGGGCGAGTACACGCCGGCCACCAGGAATGGAGCAGACCACAACGATAGCACGTCTAGCTCGATCGGGCGCATCGCGCTCAAGAACGCCGAAATCACGTGGCCTTCGGAAGGCGATGCCTCGGCAGCTTCGGGAGCAGCCACTCCAGGCCGCTTCTCGCTCTCGATCCCCGAGGCGACGTTCGAGGTGGGCAAGACCAACCTCGTGTGCGGCAAGATCGGATCGGGCAAGACGCTGCTTCTGCTTTCGCTGCTTGGCGAGGCCCAGCTGACGTCCGGCAGCATCGAATGTCCGCGCTCGCACCCCGCTGCATCGCTGTTCGCTATGCGCTCTGCGACCTCGCATCGTCGCGGCAAGTGGTGGATCGACCTGTCGCTCGCTGCGTATGCGCCGCAACGTCCGTTCCTCTTCAACGCCACCGTGCGCGACAACATCATCTTTGGCCTCGAGTACGATGCGCACCGCTACCGCGCCGTCATCTTTGCGTGCGGCCTCAAACCGGACCTCAAGATCTTCAAGGACGGCGACCGCACCGAGATCGGAGAGGGCGGCACCAACCTCTCCGGCGGACAGAAGGCGAGGATCTCACTCGCTAGGGCCGTCTACTCGCACGCGGGAACCGTGTTGATCGACGACTGCCTCTCGGCGCTCGACTCGCACACCACAAAGCACATTTGCGAAAAGCTGTTCGATGGGGGAGAATCGGGTTTGCTCGCGGGAAGGACTACGGTGCTCGTTACGCACCATGTCAAGCTCATGGCGAGCAGGTGCAGCAAGGTGCTTGTGCTGCAGGAAGGCAGACAGGCTTTCTTTGGCAGCGCCGACCAGTTCATCAACTCGATCTTCTTCCAGCTAGAGAGCGAGCAGAGCGCGGCCGACAAGGACGACGAGGAACACGTGCCGAGCTTCGGATCCAGCACCTCCACCGCGGCCAACTCGGCGGCCAACAGCGACGAGGAAGACGAGTCGCTTCTCCACCCTGCCCAAGCCGGCGGTGCCAAGGGCCCGAATGCTTCCGAGTTTTCGGTGCATACGGTTGGCGCGGATGCCGGCAGGACCACTCTGCGACGAAGGACTTCTGTCTCGGCCTTTAGCCACGTCTCGGGTCTACTGGACGGTGCGGCCGAGGGCGAGGAGGCCGAAGGCGATGTGCACAAGCAGGTCACCGAAGAGACGCGCAAGCAGGGCCGTGTCTTGTTCGCCGTCTACAGTGGATACATCCGTGCTGGCGGCGGCCTGCTGGTGTGGCTGCTGCTGCTGGGCTCGTTCGCCGCCAATGCCTTTTCCGATCTGGGTGCCAACTGGTGGTTGCGGCTGTGGGCGCAGTCGACGGCGGATGGCGATGCGGGCATCGAGCGCGCCGAGCACTCGACCGAGTGGTGGCTCTCGCGCTGGATGCTCATCCAGTCCGTCCAGGTGGTTGTGCTCACTGCCGGGTACGCTCTCGTCTGCACCGCCTCGCTGCTGGCAGGCAGCCGACTCTTCAAGCAGCTGCTGCGAACTGTGCTTCGTGCACCGCTGCGCTTCCACGACTCGACACCGTCTGGACGTCTGCTCAACAGGTTCGGCAGAGACATGGAGCAGATCGACTCGTCCATCGCCGAGGAGCTCACGGATGCAGCAAAGTCGCTCCTCATGGCTCTCGCCGCGCTGGTCGCAACGTGGATCGGAGGCGGCCCGATCTTGATTGTGATGCTCTTCTTCATGGCTCCGGTCTTCTACGTGCTCGTGTCTACGTTCACCATCGCTGCGCGCGACCTCAAGCGGCTCGACTCGAACTCGGCGTCGAAGCGCATCACGTGCTTTACGGACCTGATCACGGGCGTGGTGACCATCCGTGCCTTCGGCTCGTCGGCAGCGTACTACGCCACGCTCATGGAGAGGCTGGATGAAAACATGATGTTCTACTTCTGGCAGGGCTATGTGCGACAGTGGCAGAGCCTGCTCTTCTCGCTCGCCACCTCGGGCTTTGTCATCTCAACGGTGCTCGTCGTAACACTCGTGCCCGGCTCGTCGGCTGCCCGTGCGGGATTCACGCTCAGCTTCGTGCAGAACCTCACCTCGATGCTCCAGTTCGGTCTGCGCTCCATGTCCAACGTCGAGCAAGGTCTCGTGGCCGTCGAGCGTGTGATGGAGTACTTTGACATTGACACCGAGCCACTCGATGCCCCTCCGCAGACGGGCGGTGACGAGATCAAGGTCGCCCCCAGCTGGCCCGATAAGGGTGCCATCGAGATCCAGGACCTGCACCTTGCTTATGCCGACAACCTGCCGGATGTGCTTGATGGAATCAGCCTGTCGATCAGCGCGGGTGAACGCGTCGGCATCGTCGGCGCAACGGGCAGTGGCAAGTCGACACTCGTCTCGGCACTCTTCCGTTTCTTCGAGTACCGCAGCGGCAGCATCGTGATCGACGGTGTCGACATTGGCAGGCTGGGTCTCAAGACGCTGCGCAGCAGGATGAAGATCGTTCCGCAAGACCCGCTGATTCTGTCAGGCACGCTGCGTAGCGCCGTCGATCCGCTCGAGCAGTACTCGGACGTGGACATCAGCCGAATCCTCGTCCGCGTTGGCCTGCTCAAGGAAAAGGCCCCTCCCGCCGGAGGATACGGCACTTTCAACGGTGCTGGCTCCGTCCCAAACATCGCCGGCGGTAGCACGAGCTCATCGACGTTGCTCGCTGCACAGGAAGAGTCGTCCGACGACTCCGGGATGCTCACCTCGCTCGAGGCGCGCATCGAGGAGAGCGGAACCAACCTCTCGGCTGGCCAAAAGCAGCTCCTGTCGCTCTCGCGTATCCTGCTCTCGGCGTCGAACCCCGAAAATGCAAATTCGATCGTCGTGCTGGACGAGTCTACCTCGTCGATCGACTACGCCACCGACGCCAAGATCCAGACGCTGCTCAACGAGCACTTTGCCGCACACAACACCACCGTGCTCGCCATCGCCCACCGCCTCAGGTCGATCATCAACTTTGACACCGTCGTCGTCTTGGATCACGGCAAGGTCGTCGAAAAGGGCTCGCCGCGAGAGCTGCTCATGCGCGACGACGGCTGGTTCTGCCGCCTCGCTACCAGCACGGGCGAGGACGAACTGGGCGCCCTCAGAAAGGCGGCTGGCCTTTGAAGACCATGTCCTTCTGCGCTTGCAGATATGACTTTCTCATCACGATGCGAATGCGAAATCTGCTTTCAGCTAGGATTCTGCATGACTATTACGAGTGGCGATGGCATTGATGTGCATGAGTAAGAGTGTAAGTGTGACCGTACCGAGCTGAGAGAGGGCTGATGTCAAGTAAAAGTCCGACCATACCAGCACAATCACAAGCCTCAATACACTCGTCGACCTAATATCCTGAGCGGAAGGCCGCAGAGGCGGGCGACGGTACGAAATGGCATGGCATGCAGAGCTGTCGTTTCGGACATGATGGGAAAGGGTCCCGTGACCGACGTTTCGAGAGAAGCCCAATGTGTAAGGATGAGGTCCTGGTCCTGATCTCGGCGTCAAAAGACGTCTGAAGAATGGAGAATGAAGGAGGTCGCTCTGGTGCTTCTCTGAATAGGGCAAGTCCAAGTTTCATTTGAGCGGCTGCGAGCGCAACCGCCCGCCGACAACTTCCGCTCCGTGCCAAGAGAGGTCGGCCCCACCAAGCCGACTTTGTGTTGTCACATTCGTGCATTTCATTAAAAAGCGCAGCGATGCGGAAAGCCGCGGTCACGGACGACAGCTTGTTGAATAAAAGATGAGCATCTGCAGACTCGCCGAGCCGCCCATACGTCGATCGACTGTCACCATACCTTCTTCAACGTCTAGTTGCTGACCTTCTCCAGACCGCGTCTCGTGCTTTGCAGGCCAAGCCGTCACAATATGTCAAAGAGAAAGAGAACGTCCACCTCCGCGAACGGCTCGGAAGACGATGAGCGCGAGGAGGCCAACAGCTCACGCTCCTCGGAATCAGGCGACGAGGAAGCCGACGATGTGAAGGACGTCGAGACGCGTGACGGAGAGGAGCCTGACGTCGGCGACGTGACGACCCCCGTCGACACGAAAGAAAGTGAACCGAGATACGAGGTCCGAGCCATTTGGACCGCCAAGGATCCCCGGGTGTGGTCCTTTGAGGAGTACCCTGACCCTACGAGCCGCGATGACCTCGCCAGGGGTACGCGCAGATTCCGCTACCTGGGTCCCTTTCGCCATCTTTCTTGGCAGGACCTCAACGATATGGCGCATGAGGTTGCACACTTCATTTGGCAAACTTACTCGCACATCAATCCGCTAGAGGTATTTGTCCAGACTCCGACTGTGCGCAACGACGTACTGCACTTGGACATCGCCACCACGACGCAGAAGGCCTACGAGCAGCTTGCGAAAGCCCAGCTCGGCTTCCGCTCGAAGCCGTTTGAGCTCGTCTCGTCGTGCGCACCCTTTCCCAGCCACCACATCCTCATGCGCATCGACGGTATCGATGTGCGTAACGCACTGGTATCGATCATCAACAGCATTAAAGTCGAGCTTCACGGTTTGATGCGCGTCATCGCTTATTGGGCGAGGTTCCGCCCCCGCTCAGACGACAGCGTGCGCTCGGGTGACGACTTCACGGGTACAGTCTATGTGCTCGGCGCTGGAAGGGGCGACAAGGTCCAGATCGACAAGCTTCCAGGTTTTCTCGACTTCAAGAACCTCGGGTGGCCAAAGCGCGTGGCTGTGTTGTACGACGGGCGTCCTGCTGAGTGCAACACTTGCAGCTGGATGGTCCCACGCCACCTCGTCAGGGACTGCGCTCAATGCTGCCACTGTAAGCACCGATGAGCTAGCTCGCCAGCCTGCCAGGAAGTCATGCAAGAGTAGGCAAGCGTGTTCGACGTCGAAAGCCGACATTCCCCCCTCTCGCGATCGATAGCACAATGCACTGGTGGACCTTACACGCGAAGACGAATTGCAATGCGGAGACGAAACTGCTTTCGAAGACAAGACTGAAAGTGCGCCCCTTTTGTGCCCATGCGTCCCTGTGTGGATAACGATGTACTGTCCTAGGAAGTTGTGATCCCCCCTCCATCGGCTTCAAACAAAAGAGACTCGACTGCGAACGGGTTGCGTCCTTTGAAGCCGTCTCTTTCGGAATCATCACATGGACGTGATGCGCTGGCCCGTCACTGCGTAGGCGCGTGAGGTCACGCACGGCTCATCTCTGCGGCGATCCTGCCGACTCTTGGAGCGAGCATGGGTGTTAGCTGCCACCAACCAGGCCGACCAACGACATCACTCAAAAGGTCAACAGCTTGATGAATATGGTGTTCGCTTACGGTGGGGCTATGATCGCCGAGCGCACGGCCGAGATGTGACGCCCTCTGGACTTTTGAAAGGGTATGATCACTGCGTTGCAACCTCAACACTCCCGTGTGGGTCAATAGACGCTGTCGTCTCATCCCTCGCTTGCCCCTCCGGATGAAAGCACAGTCCAACGATTTGGCGCGTCTACTCAGGCGCTACACCTCAGCCTCGGGGTGAGAGTGCCCGGCATACCCAGGGGCTGTGCATCGTCAAAGCCGACAGGGCTTCGAGGTCCGCCCCGGTATCGGACGAGACCATGATCGAGCGTGCGAACCAATCTAGCGAACGCGATCAATCCGCCTCGAGCCCGGGCGACAACGACTTGTGTTCAAGCAGGTGGTTGAGGAACAGGTGCGTCTGACGCGCCGAGGGGTGGCTCGAAACGAACGGCGACGCAGGCAGAAGGAAAGGGTTGATTCCCGAGTCGGGCTACGACGAGGCTGAGCCCCGATTCGGCGGGATGGTCACAACCTGCACAGCTTGGTGTCAGGCGCCGGCTCTGGACTGTCAGTGCCGCAGCAACCGCAGCTAGCCCGATCTTTGCTTGCTGCGCCGTTGCTATGATCCTCAGCAGGAGCTCTAACGACTCTGCGCTGTTTTCCCCCACCGTCTATTCAGGATGCCGGCCTTTTCTCCTGGCCCAAAGTGCCGTGGCGGACGCTGCATGATCACGACAACGCTACACTACTCAGACGAAACGGCGACGCGAACACAACACTGCGCGAAAAGACGACCGCACACGAAGACGAATAGGGTTACGAACTCTGGTATCCAAGTTACACTGAGCCAGGGGTGACTATTGGAAGCGTGGGGCGATGCGCGCGTGCGCACTGCACTGGCGGACTCTCGAGCCCTTTGCTACCTGTTCGCCATCTTGCTCAGACGGGGGCGGCGCAACCGAACGAGGTGGCAGCAGCACTCGAGTCGAACGTCTCCTTGATCGACTCTCCCGACCCGTACATGCCGAGCCCCGAGAGAGTGTACGCGCCGAGGGTGACGAAGAGCAGTACTGCCTTGACGACGATACCGGGGATGACGACGTTCTTGCCAAACAGCAGGGGGTATTCGTAGTGTCCGCCAAACAGTCCACGTTGCCACCTGCTCCACTGGGCCCAAGTGTCCTGCCTCTTAGCGGGGTATCCGGGCGAGTAGGGGGTGTCGCCCTCCATAGCGTCGCGCTTGATGTAAAAGATGAGCGCGAGCATGAAAGGGAACGAGTAGGAGAAGTTCATGATCGCAATGGCTGCGATGAGACCCGAAATCGTCTGCACCTGGGGAATCGAGGAAGCGATCACGAAGGCAAGAGCCCAGTAGACGACCGAGATGGAAGCCCAGATAACGCGACCACGGGGGGTGTTGAGAGCGGGACCCTTCATGAACGACTGCACCGTGTTGACGTAGATGACCTTGAGACCGACGTTGCCATACAGCGCAGCGGCGATGGTGCCCGAAAGAATGGCGAGCATGTTGCAGACCGTCTGGAACGAGTACTTGTCAATACCATTGTACGACTGACCCAGAACGTATTGGCCCTGGTAGGCGTAGATCACGTTGGCGTAGACGAGGTAGACCGTGCAGATGAGGGCTTGGGCCGAGATCATGCCCTTCCAGAAGTCCATAGGGCGGCGCATCTCGGCCATGAGCTCCGGGAAGATCATCGCACCACCATACGCGAAGACCATATTCATCAAGCCGTTAACCTTCTGAGTGATGTCGTAGGAGACAAACGCAGAGGTCATGACGGGCTGGTTGTTGTAGGGGTAGTCAGTGCCGTAAGAAGCCTGGGCACCGGCAATGTAGGGGCCGTACTTGATGATGGCGGCCATGGAAACGATGACGATGACAATGTTCTGGTACACGGCGGTGGTAGCGGCGAAACCAAGGCCACGGAAGGTCTGCACCTGTGCGAAAGCCATGCCGATGAGGGCAAAGATGACGACGCAGACGGAGAAGCAGAGGTTGGCGTTGCCGGGAGCGCCACTGATGACCTGACTGAGAGCCTGGCCGTTGGTAAGGCAGATGAGACCGACGTTGATGATGAGCTGAAGCGTCTGGAGAGCGTTGAATGTCCAGCGCATGGGGTATCCCACCACACGCTCGCCAATGTCGCCGTACGTCTTGACGGGGTAACGGGCCGAGTCGAGCTGCATGAACAGCTTCCAGAGGATGATACCGCACCACCAGGCACAGAAGCCCATGACGATGTACATGACGTTACCCGTCACCCAGCCGTTCTGGGACATGGCGTAAGGCGCACCGTAGGGACCGAGAATATCGGTGGTGATCAGGTAAAAGACGCCGACCCAGGAGGCGGTCTTGATGGCGCGATGGGCGTTGCGGCTCTCCTTTTCGAGGTCCGAAAGGCCCTCGAGCTGGTCAAAGGTGGATGCATCCGTGCTGTTGACGGTGGGCTTGGCGACGCCGGCCTCGACGGCAGTGCCGTGCTCGCTGACCTTTTCGGACGAGTTGTGCTTCTCGCCAGCGTGCTCGATGTAGCCAGCACCGTGGGGAGCATTGGCCTCAACAGCTACGCCCGCTGCACCGTACAGCTTCTCCTGCTCGCGCTGGATCTGGGCGTAGAACATGTACTCTTCCATCGAGATACCGCTGCGAGGAGGGGCTTCGTAGAGCGCAGGAACGGGAACGAGGCCCGGAGCACCCTGGCCGGGGATGTCGCTCTGGTGCGTCTCCTGCTTGTTGGAGGTGTGCTCCGTGCGCTCAATCTCGGTGCTCTTGGCACGGTTAACGAAGTCCTTGACACCCATGTTGGCGGCGACGAAGGGGGGAGGGGTAGGTCGAGGGGAATGGATAGAAGAGGAGACGAGGATGGAGATGGCGAGGTCGCGGTATATATGGGAGGTCCGCCGGCGAAGGGGGCTCGAGGGTGGTCAGCAACCGAGGGGGGAATCACGATGGATGCGGGCCTATGTGCAGCGAGGTCTTGCGAGACGGCTCTTCGGCTAGAAGAGGCTCGCGGCACGGGGGGGTTCGGCGCAGAGTGAGATGGCCTTGCCGGCGGTGCGGAGTGTGAGGATTGGCAGCGCAGCGCCGCGGAGTCAGAAATCCAAGGCGGCCATCCGTGTCAGGCACACGAGCGCATCCATCCAGCCACCTCGCTTACGCTCTTCGTCGCCGTACAGGTGTCTTGCTCCTCGCGCTGCCCTTTCACCACGTCCGGTGCACGAGCGGTTGTCCCGGTAGCAAAGGTGGTCCACTGTGGCCGATGTGAGAAGAGGCTGATTGGGCGCAGTTGAACCGGTGCAAAAGATCCAGTCATCAGGCGTTATCTTGATTCGGCGGCCGGCCAAGACAACTGTTCCCGACCACCCAATAACGAAACGAGCACGATAAGCATTGGGCCAATGGGACTGGTGGAAGAACAGGTCTTTTCAGGAACCAAATCGCTTCCAACCAATCAGACCGTTGGTATCTGTGTCCACTTTGCATCCCCGCACAAAGCCCGGCGGTCAAAGGCCAACCGGAACCATGTGACGAGCGCTTTGCGAGGTGCTTGGGAAAAGGGCAGAGGGAAAAAAAAAACGGCGAGGTGTTTCCGGTGCATGATTGCCGCGGCAATAAAAAAAGATGACGATGAGGCTCCGATCAAGCGCCCTCTGAACCGCAGGCATGGCTCAGGGACTGCACGACTCAGACGCGGCATCTTGCATTGGCCCAAACAAAATGAACCTGCGTAGTTGGAATTTCATTCCGGCGAATCGGCCGTCCCTTGCTCGCTCCCTCCCTCCTTGCTCGTACACTCTCTCCAACGCAGCAAGTCACAAGCCCGTAGCCAATCCATATCATGGTGTACAGCTCCATATCATGGGCTACAGCTGGTGATAGTCTTTGAACCTGGAAATGCGAAGGTGGCATGGATGGTGAAGGGGAGAAGGTGGAACCCAAGGGGGGGAGGGTCGGTTTCAAACTCCGGTGCTCGCCAGCCGGCGCGCGTGCATGTCGTGCCGGCGGTGTTTCGTCCGATGCAACCCAGCGAGCCCTTTTTTTTTGGCCGAACCATCTGGGCCCCTCCCCCAACCTCGGGTTCCGGTCAGCTTTGGGTGTTCGGATCAATGTGCCCCGAGCTCGTAATCGCCAGCCTTCTTGATAGGGTGGTTTTCCCCGATCCAAGCCTTTGTTCTTTCGAGGGAGCTCTGATGCCGTTGGAAGTGGGTCGGTTTTGACGGCTCACCGAATTGTAGCCCTTGCATAAGTCGGTCCTTGTGTGAGCAACCCGAGAAGATAGCCGGCAGTAAGGCTTATTGCGCGCGCGTTCTTCAACACACGTCGTCGGGAAGCAGAGCGGGTTGTGGGGTGCGGGGTGCATTATCTTTGCCTGTCGCTATTGCACCGCAGTGGCGGCACAGATGAAGCACGCAAGCAGCCGCTGCATGCCGCACGCAGTCTTGAGGTTATGAAACCGTGGTGGGGGGCAACGGTCGGCGATGGCGTAATCGGCCCGATCTGACCGTCAACGCCCTAACAGATTTTTTTACACCGGAGCCACGCATCGTGTCGCCGTGCGTCGAGCCCGTCGTGTTGGCGGCTTGGCAACCTCACTCATCTTCAGCGCTACCTGTCAGTCAGCGCGACCTACGCCCCGGTTCTGCGATGATTCATATTCATGTCTGTGCGCCACCTGCCGCAAGACTTGACTCGTCCGTCCGAGCTTGACTTTTGCCACTCTAGCTAAAGGCGATGCAATGGCTGAGCAAGGATATAACAGACGTCTTGACCCGAGCCTTGTTCGTTTCGCACCACCATCAGTGCGCAAAAAATGTCGGGACCTACACAGGGATATCCAAAGAGTCAGGCCAGCGTTCCACCCAAGGTGAGCCCCGAACCCCCCGCTGTGGTCGTAGCTCGTATCTTACCTGGGCGATTTTGTAGCCGACGGGCCACGATCAACGGCCGATTTGGAGCCGCATGGCCAATACGACCAAGCGCTTCATCAAGCGTGATCCCCAGCTCGCACCTCTTGCTGTATTGTAAGTCCGCCTAGTCCTCCAACCAACTGAACGCCGTGCTGATGAGATTCGATACGATCGTGTAGCAGTAAGTTCTTTGCAAACCACAGCAATGTCTTGCATCGGATACTAATCGCATCTTGCTCGGGCGCTGGTAGCACTCGGAACCGTCGGCCTATTTCTGTACTTCCACCAGTCGAAGGCGCGAGACACTCCGGTGGGCAAAGCTTTGCACGCGCCGGTTAAGCCCAACACCCACGGCGTTGCTTCGAGCCAGCCAGGTGCTCGACAGGCAGCTTACCATGCCGAACCACACTCGCCACGCGGACTCGCTCCGTACGTCTTGCCGCATCTGAGCGAGGCGGAAAAGGCGGAGCTGGAAATCGTGCCCGTGCCTCGTCACGTCGGCACGTTCGGCAAGACGATGAAGCAAGCTGCGGTGCTCGATCGGAAGGGGCACCAGGAGTCCATCGATGCAGCGCGAGACAAGGCACGTAACGAGATGCCTGTGCGCGACCAGTCGACTTGAACCGGCGACCCTCACGCGGTCCACATTTGTAGCTCGAGGTTCGAGGTTCGATGTACGAATGACACATGATCATGGTTCGAGAGCGGGTGTTGAAGGTGTGTCGCCTCGGCGGAAGCGGAAAGCGGCTGTTCGAGCGAGGTCGTTGTTGTTGCTCCCACCGCCACTCTTGCGTGCAATGTGATCCCGAGCCGTGCCTCGAATGGGTTGTGGTGGCTGTGTGCTGGCAAAGATGCTAGTCGGTCTTGTCTCCACCGCTCGCTTGACTGTTCCATCCGTCTTTAGTTCCTGAGCACCCAACGAGGGCACATTGCCTTTCCAGCTGGTCTGATCAAAGTAGTGACTGCCATGTACGCCCAACCCTAGCGCCAGCACGGCTGCCGACAGCGACATGGCAAGCGGGTTGCGCGGCAACTGCCTGGCGACAGGGACGGTCTTGAAGAGCAGATACGTGAGCGACCACGCCGTGACTACGCCGCTGCCATTGAGGTGGTCGCCCTCGTCGATCATGTATCCTCCCGTGCCGAACGCTGCCGCGAAGAAGGCTAGCTGCCAGAAGGGCGGCAGCGTGCGTACGGGTGCAAGGCTGGGTGCGCTGCGCTGCGACTGCACGTTCGCGACGAGACGTGCGACGAGCGACGACGAGCCACGAGAGGCGGCGGCTTCCGAGGCGCGGGCCAGTTGCTGCTGATGCTGCTGTTTCGCCGCGGCTTCGGCGGCGGCCTGGGCGGGAGAGGCAAAGCCAAAGGGCGTCGAGAGCGCAAACAGCGCCGAGAGGGCGTAAGAGGGTGTGCTGGTGGATGCGTACGATCCGAGCACGCGCACGTTGCGCTGCAGCCATCCGTCGTTCGCTGGAGCAAGAGACATTGTAGAAGCCATGTGGATCTTGGAGAAGGGAGGCTGGAAAGAGGTCCGACAAAAAGGATCAGCGGCGACATGCATGTGGAGTCCGACTTCCGAGCCGAAATTTGAGCTTTCTATGTTAGAGCGGCTAGTAATCGTGCCGATCGATTGCATTTTGAGATTTTACGGCGCGATGTCGAGAGGCGTTGGTTGGTGTTGGCAGAGGCGCCAGTGAAATTTCGAGACCAACAGAGGCGCGCGGCTGAGACAAATTGCTGCCAAGTCGCACAGACCCCGGCGGCGACGGAGCACCGACGCGTCGCCCTTGGCTCTCCACCGTTCGCCATGCACGGCTTCGTAAGCTTAAGTCTATGCTTGCTTGGGGCTGCAGGCACCCGCTGCTTCCCTCGCGCCTGGTGTGATGGTGGTGCGCCATCACCGACCTTCATCTGCAGTGCGGGAAGTGCGGTGCATTCAGCTGCCGATGGGCGTGTGGGCGTGCAGCCATAATCGCAACCGCTTTGAAAGCATGCGTCGGCGTTGGATGGGCTGTCGCTCGTGCGCGCGTCAAAATGTCCGTTGACCGCACTGCACATGCAATCCAAACTGTCGCTCTACAGCAGCACTGATGAGCGACGAGCAAAAAGGCGCTGGCTGGAATGTTGTGCTTTTTGAACACCGAGCGAGAAAAGTCGGGAAAAAAGGCAGCAGCGCGCAGAAGTACGGAAAACAGCTGGAAACGGCGGAAAAAAGAGAGGGAAAAAAAGGGGGCGAGGGACCCTGGTTTGAGGCGCGTCGATGCGAATTGCAAATGTGAAATGAGCCGATCCTCAGCGCGCGCCCGCCGTGAGACTGGCAGAGTGCTCCAATGCTCCAATGCTCGACTGCTCGACTCTGCTTGACTGAGAGCAAGCGAGTGTTGCTGTGCTGTGCTTCTGCTGTGCTGTGCTCTGCTGGCGGCCAGCAGTCGAGCAGTTCGACCGCCCCTGTCACGCACTCCTCCTCCCGCCCACCTCACCTCGACCTTTCTACGACTCACCACCATCGCACCTCATCGCCCCGACCTCTGCCAATTCGTGGTCACTGGTGTACGCTGCTTGTCCGGTCGAGCACGCGCGCACACACGCACACCCCTCTCCACCCTCTCGGCCTCACTCACCGCACCTAGACATCTCTCCCATCTCGATTGGAATCGAGCGCTGCAGCCATCTTGGAAGGCTACCGTGGATCACTTCCGTCACACACAGAGACCACCCGCTTCTTCTTATTCCAGCCCAGAGCATAGAACAGCCAGGCGCTTCTCTTTCCTCGCCTCGCCTGGCACTGCGCCGCTCTACCATCATGTCGGTCAAAAACGCGCATGACCCCTTCGCCACGCCTCTCGAGACAATCCACCACGATCCTCTCGCAGAGACCGCTGGCCTCAAGGCCGACTACGACAAGCGTGCCTACGGCGAAGCAAACCCGGGCCTCGTCGGCACGCTCGAAAAGGATGACATCGCCAACCGTCCCATCGATGCCGTCGAAGAGGTGCCTACCACCAGCGTCCGCAAGTGGTGGGTGCGCCTCACCTGGTTCACCACCTGGTGGATCCCTTCCTTTGCGCTCGCAAAGTGCGGCGGCATGAAGCGTCCCGACGTCCAGATGGCCTGGCGCGAAAAGTTCACCATCTGCGCCATCATCTTTTGGCTCTGCGCCATCATCCTCTTCTACATCATCGGCTTCGGCCGTCTCCTCTGCCCAGACTACGACAAGGCGTGGAACGAGAGCCAGCTCAGCCAGCACGCGGGTCAGGACGACTACTACGCCGCCATCCGCGGCACCGTCTACGACTTTACCAAGTTCTACAAGGGCGACCACTCGGACATCACCAACCTCCAGACCAGCTCCGACCTCATGCTCCAGCTCGCAGGCCAGGACCTCACCGAATACTTCCCCGTGCCCCTCACCGTAGGCTGCCAGTCGCTCGTCTCCGACACCTCGCTCGCCCTCCAGCCCACCGCCAACAACACCCCCGCCATCTCCCAGGCCGTCCACACCTCGGGCCCGCTCCAGTCCGACGCCTCCTCCAAGCTGCACGACATCCAATGGTACCCCGAGCGCTTCCTCCCCTTCACCAAGAAGCTCAAAAAGGGCTACTACGTCTACTCCAAAAAGTCGATCGAGGACCAGGGCCAGTGGAGGAACTGGGCCGTGGTCAACTCCAAGGTCTACGACATCTCGGACTACCTCAACACCCTCAACGTCTACCAGACCAACGCCGCCTACGACTTTCTCGACTCCTCGCTCGTCGCCCTCTTCAAGAGCCAGGCGGGCCAGGACATCACCGCCGACTTTACCGAGGTCATGGCCGGCTTCAACACCACCTACCGCGGCGCCACCCAAGCCTGCCTCGACAACGTATTCTACGTCGGCAAGACCGACTTCCGCAACACGGCGCGCTGCGAAGTGCAGAACTACCTCTTGCTTGGCTTCTCGGTGCTCCTCGTCGCCACGGTGCTCGCCAAGTTCATCGCCGCGCTCCAGCTCGGCACCAAGCGCACGCCCGAGCAGCAGGACAAGTTTGTCATCTGCCAGGTGCCTTGCTACACCGAATCCGAAGAAGAGCTGCGCAAGACCATCGACTCGCTCGCCGGCCTCGAGTACGACGACAAGCGCAAGCTCCTCTTCCTCATCTGCGACGGCATGATCGTCGGCAGCGGCAACGACCGTTCCACGCCGCGCATCGTGCTCGACATCCTCGGCGTCGATCCCAAGATCGACCCCGAGCCGCTCATGTTCAAGTCCGTCGCCGAAGGTTCCAAGCAGCTCAACTACGCCAAGGTCTACTCGGGTCTCTACGAGTTCGAAGGCCACGTGGTCCCTTACATTGTCGTCGTCAAGGTGGGCCGTCCCAGCGAGCGCTCGCGTCCCGGCAACCGCGGCAAGCGCGACTCGCAGATCCTGCTCATGCGCTACCTCAACCGCGTCCACTTTGACGCGCCCATGTTCCCGCTCGAGCTCGAAATGTACCACCAGATGAAGAACGTCATCGGCATCGACCCCGCCTTTTACGAGTACATCCTCATGGTCGACGCCGATACGCGCGTCGAGGCCGACGGTCTGAATCGTCTCGTGGCCAACTGCGCCGACGACTCGCGCATCATCGCCATCTGCGGCGAGACCACGCTGGACAATGCCGAGGGCTCGTGGTGGACCATGATCCAGGTGTACGAGTACTACATTTCGCACCACCTCGCCAAGGCGTTCGAATCGCTGTTTGGCAGCGTGACGTGTCTGCCCGGTTGTTTCTCGCTCTACCGCATCCGCAGCTCGGACAAGGGCCGACCGCTGTTCATCTCGAACCGCATCATCGACGACTACTCGGAGAACCGCGTGGACACGCTGCACAAGAAGAATCTGCTGCATCTGGGCGAGGATCGATACCTGACGACGCTGGTGCTCAAGAACTTCCCCGCCTTCCGCACCAAGTTTGTGGCGGACGCCAAGGCGCTGACGAGCGCGCCCGAGCGATTCGGAGTGCTGCTGTCGCAGCGTCGACGATGGATCAACTCGACGGTGCACAACCTGGCCGAGCTGGTGCTCATGCCGGAGCTGTGCGGATTCTGCCTGTTCTCGATGCGCTTCATCGTGTTCATCGATCTGCTGGGCACGGTGATCCTGCCGGCGACGGCGGTGTATCTGGTGTACCTGATCATCACGGTGGCGACGCGCACGGCGGCCATCCCGTACATCTCGATTGCGATGATTGCGGCGGTGTACGGATTGCAGGCGATCCTGTTCCTGCTCAAGCGCCAGTGGCAGTACATTGGATGGCTGATCATCTACATTCTGGCGTATCCGGTCTTCTCGTTCTTCCTGCCCATCTACTCGTTCTGGCACATGGACGACTTCTCGTGGGGCAACACG